ACAAGACCCGATCTGACATTATTTTTACAGAAACAAAAACACACACTCAAAATTATTTACTGTTTGGTGGATTATGCGTCTGAGCTATGGTAGTTATTTGAATGCTTCTAGTGTTTTGTTTTTCAAGGGAAAATCCTCATACACATGACTAAATCAATCTACTTGGTCGATTATATTTTTAATCCTATTCAATGACTCTAGAACTTACGTACCCTAATTATCTCGCCTTATACAATCGCTCCATACTTAATACAATGAAGAGAGATGTGAACACATTTACACATGTGAACCATAATTTAGTGTGTATTTAGTAGAGGAATGGTTTTTCTTTTAGCAATAATTAATTACCCAACTGTTAAACTATAACTTACTTTCTAAAATCAGCAATTAACGATTAACTTGTAATAGGCCCTAATTCCATATTACATCAACTGTAATTCAAGCCAAGCCGTTATACTCTCCACTATTTTAGAATAAAAAAGATATTTGGCTTAGTAATTGGAAAAGGGCCAAACCAAGTGGTCAAAGTTGACTCAAGGTGTGTGTGTATCAAACGAAGATGAAACTTCAGCTTTAAGATCTTATTGTTTAATTGAACGAGCTTATTGATATCTTACGTAAACACGCTGGTTTGTGTTTTTAGATTGCAATTGAGTGTAGGGCGTTTCAATGTTTTAATTCAATAAGTTCAATGGTTGGCTCATAAATTCGCACACAATTAACATTCAAAGTGTTTAAGAAAGACAAAGAAAAAGAAATATTGGTCGAAAAAGTTATATTGTTGTACTATCTTTGTATTTGGCTAAATGTTAGGCCTAAACTCGAGATTCCTGTTGTTGCTATGTTAGAGTATTTATTGTTGTTTGTTAATCTTATTTTTTTGTTGTTGTTACGCTTTGGATATTTATAACCTGTTATATCTTTGTTAACTTATATTTATCATCAAATTTTGCTTACCTATTTTGTTGTATTCAACCATCATGTTTATCTTTGTAAATTGGCTGCTGCCGTTGGAAATAAAATAAAATAAAATAAAATAAAATAAATTCCGTGCATCGCTTACTGTGATAATGGTAAAATACAAATGTACATAAAACTAGCTAAAACAATGTCTGGAGAACGATGTCCCCATCCCCAAGTTCAGAGACAATCGCGTCGTCGCAGCACCAACCTCCCACAATGTTGAATCTACAGTCTCCACTCTCCACTCGCTACTTGGACTGAGACTGAGATCAATAAGACATCCACCAATCACAGTGCACCACGCCCAGTTCTTGAGCCAATTGTAACTTCTCTAACTGGCAACGATAACCGATAACCCCTCGCTTCTGGTTTCATCCTTGTCATCAGAGTGTGCACAACGTGCATTACGCTGAGAGTTCCAATTGTTTACACGATGGCAACTAGCTTTAGTCGAGTTGATACTTTTATATCAATAAAGTAGTTGAAATATTTTAATCCACAAAAAAACAATAATTTTAATTTGTAATCATTCAACTACTATAATCCTTGAGGCAAGCTGTATATAATTAAAATCTATTAACATTAATAGTTAAAATTCTTACTCCTCAGATGCGCCTTTTGTAGGTTGGACTCAAATCAATCACGTTTCGATTCAACGTTTCCATGTTGATGTAATGGTATAATAAATGGTATCATATTTTTTAGCTTAAACCCCTTTTTGATCAGTCAAATGTCCTAACAAGTACGCAGACTAGGAGGTATTTCAAATGTTTTAAAACATTATTGTTGATATCAGCTGTTGTGAGAAAATTAAATAATTTGCTCCAAACTTCGTTGTTAAGCGTGGTGTTTTACCGTGTAGTGTCAACGAAAGTTAACCCTTTGATCTGTTGTCGATTTATTTTTAAAGGTCTATTGTAAACACGGAACAACATCGACTTATTGTTTCCTTTTGATTGTTAATTGGTTTGATTTGAACCATGTGTTTTAAACTTTGGTGTAAATGCGGCTAAATGTTAAAATGTTGCATCAACATGTACTATGCTGAGTTATCCGCCTAAAACATAAAAGTTCGTGGTGGTTGGACGGATTGATTGACATATGTTTACGGCAAACATAAACTTATATATGATTATTATTAATTGAAAAGTATTTAATTTCGCTCACCCAACTATAAAACAAAAAGGATAAACAAAACAAACAATATTTGTAAAGTACTGTACATTTTCTCTTCTTTATTAGAGAATTAAAACAGGCAATTATTCAGTTTTTTTGTTATTACATAACAATACTATTACCATCACAAACCCACATTCATAAGATGTTAAATATTAAACTGTTGATACTGAAGATGAGCAAAACATCAGAAGTTTGAAGGCCTACGAAGACCTAAGGTTTGAGGCTAGGTAATGGTTTGAGTTCAGAACGCACAAATGCCTGACTTCAAATATTACCAATCACAGCACTTGCTTTTCCCAGTGTCAACACCTCCTCATGATACAGAGTAAGCCTTGCTGTAGGGGCACCTAACTAAAAACATGTCTCAAGCAACGCATAGACGTGCTCATGGGACAAATATATTGCTTATTTAGAGGCTAGGAATTGGTGTTAATGATGCTGATTTATATGAACAGGAAGTTGAAGTCATTTTTTCCTACGAGCGCCATTCACAGCCCCACAAACAGAGGTCGATGATAAGTGGAGTGCCTCAGGGTTCGGTCTTTGGTCCGCTTCTTTTCTCTTCTTACTCTATATGATAATGACCTGCAGCTTAATAGAATAACGCTACCGGTTACGCCGAAATGAAATGATTCATCTTTTCGTTTGGTCATGAGTTTAGTTGTTTTTTCATTTATAAACTGAATTGTACGTGGGAACCCGAGGTGTTGAGATGAGTGGAATAATGGAATGTCAGTCTCATCGCTGACTTTTTTAAATAAATAAATTTTGTAAGCATATTCAGTTGGCATTATAAAGTCGCTGTGGAATTCGATGCAATGGTATTTTTAGACACGTCAATTACTTACTTTAGATACACATATTCATAGTTCATACAACATTACGAACAAACCACAATTTATACTGAAAATAGATAATAACCAACCACAGGTATATCTTTTCCAGCTACAGTATATACACTCTGAAAAAAAATCATTCAGTTCTTTTCATTTAACAAACTAAATTGGTTTCTCAAACCGGATCTACAAATTGTCTCTCCAGAGTCCAGCCACTGTCACAACTCTAATGTTGCCATCGGCCGCAGCGGCGCCACTTGTCAGTGATATCGATTCTGCGCAGGAACGCGGGAAGTGCCAGATGTTGAGCCGTTGAGCCTTAAATCAGCTGTTGACTTTGCTAAACAAACATCCCCAAAAGTAAACATTTTGATTTTCAACTATCAGCATAACATCGGGTAAGCAGTGAACTCCCCATAGTATATACGTTATATTTACAACATATCTCTCGTCTTGGAACACAGTTTTGCAAGAAGAGCAGCTACATCTGATCTAGTAGTTCTGAGTGTAGCGGCTAGCCCTAGTCATCAGGTCGTGGTCACCGACAAGAGAGCGCCGTGTTAATTTGTAAAGGTGCCAGCCTCTAAGAGCCTCCCTTTGTTCCTCCGACTCCATTACGTCCATCCTCAATCTCATCTCCACCCCAAGGCTCGTTATTGACTCTAGTCGGTCAATATTGATCTTTACAGCCGCATTAAGTTCCTCAACAAATGGACGTTAATGTCTCTATTAATCAAGCGCCTCGTAAAGAAGCGGTGGGAAATCGTGTGCTGTTTTGATTTTGTTTTTGTTTTGGCTTCAGCGTGTGTGTGATTACTTACCGGGAGATCGCAAAGCTTCGTGGAAACATCAGATAAACTTGGAGTTTTACGATACTCTGGTTTCGAAATTCTTGATGGTAAAAGGTTTTGTTCAAGATCGGATGCTTTTATTGTTGCTCGCATAGTAACCTTCATCCTTTGATGAATTAGCCATAAGCTTAGGTACAGTTATTTACTATGCTAACTGTAATGGACAATGACTGCATTTACGGTTCATTTAAATGGAATTCAAACAGAAAGTGTCCCTAATAAACACTTAATCCCTGACAAAATTTTACTTTGGAGTTTCTCTGTTTTTAGCACCGACTCTTACTTAAATAGTTAACAATATTATACCGTACGTCCGGAGATGAAACAGTGATTTTGACATCACCCAAGTATCTCGACGCCGGAAAACTTATTCATCGTCTTCTCGCGTTGAATGCGGATTGTAGGCAGTCAGCTTTCCCTCTGTTTCTACAAGAGACAACAGTTACCACTTATTATTACTCGTATCCTCTCAGTGAGTCATCTAAAGACGGCATTAGCACTTTTCCTGCTTAGCATTCATCACTCCGCATATTCTGGCACGTGCCTCATTATCATCAATTGTTTCTGTTATTGCAACAGCATGCAGATTGTTTCTCTGTAATTGGTCTGATTACTGTCGATGATTTTGTTGGCAAATCGAGTCGCTATTATGTCGCAACATTACCTTAGCTACCCATCTATAGGATAATGTTTATAAATTTATATAGAATCTTAATCGCAAACGAATCCATTCCCAAGAATGTCGTGTTGTGCTGGCTGTGGTAATGTCGATAATCTTTTACGGCCTTGAGGCTTTCAAGGTTGTGCTACCCTGCACATAACAAAACACTATTATGGTGATATACTCGTACACTGCACGTATATTCTATGACAGTTAAGTTCTTTAAAGTTTTACAAGCTAACACAATTTATACGTTTCTCCCCACTACATGAATAGGCTAAGCTAGCCGTTACTGTATATGCATTGATATAACAAATTCCAGTTCCATGTTTCTCAATAGAGCCAATGTGTCTCATGTGTTTGGTCAACATTGAGTTTTATTATTATTCATATGCAAAACCAGTTATGACAGTTCACTATTACATTGTTGATGTGAAACAGCTTGACTCGCAGTCAACAATGTAGTATGTTCCCTGACAGCACAATCTGACCCACTGTTTCTTGTTCCAGGAGCACCCCGGACTGCGAGGCACTCCTCTGGCGATGCTGGCGGCTCAATGCAACAAGCTGTCCAGCAAGTCACCGCCCCCTCTCGCGGACGCCGCCGTCGGAAAAGGCTTCCACCCCTGGAAGAAGAGCCCCCAGAGCGGCGGTGGCAACGTCGGCCCCGGCAGTCCCACGGGCCCTCAGCGACCTACCACAACCTCCTCCGCGGCCTCCACCATGGGCAACTCAGCGTACAGCAGTAGACCTGTGATGACGTCGTGCGGCATGAGTGGAGGTTACACCGGCGGAGACTTCTACTTTCCCGGGGCCACGGCTCAGGCGACAGAGAACTCTCACCACCAGGCGGCGCTGCTGGGCAAGGTGGAGGGTGCCGCGACTCACCACGCTGCACTAGGTAGGTCATAATAACCCTCACTACATTTATAGCTAGATACATTTATTATACGTGAACAATGAACGATTATAATAAAATTATTGTAACAAAATCTTTCTTTGTTTTTGGTGTCATTTTTGAAAAGGCTTGGAGAAAATAAATCTATTCAATTATTCTTCTTTCCTCCGTAAGTGATGATATCTTAAATAAGTAACCAAGTCTGATCTTTCTCCAGGCTCAGTGTACTCAAGACACCCGTACGAGTCGTGGCCGTTCAGCGGGATGCCGGCGGCGACTCACCCAGGAGCGATGAAGCCCGGAGACGCGGGTGGATGGTGGGACGTCCACGGCGCGGCTGCGGGTGGTTGGCTGGACATGAGTGGAGGCATGCACGCTCAGATGGCCGCAAACTACACCAGCGACTACTCTACATTGAGTCACTCCCTCGCAGCATCCAACACCGCGCACCTCCTCAGCTCCGGGCAGCACCTGCTACAGGACACGTACAAGAGTATGCTGCCTGGACAGAGCAGCTTCGGCCTCGGACATCACCATCACAGCTCGGCTACCACGCCTACCACCGTCTCCACGTCCAACTCCCAGGTACCGTCACCTCGGTCCCAGCGGCGGTACACGGGCAGAGCGACGTGTGACTGCCCCAACTGCCAGGAGGCGGAGAGGCTAGGTCCGGCGGGAGTTCATCTTCGCAAGAAGAACATCCACAGTTGTCACATACCGGGTTGTGGCAAGGTGTACGGCAAGACGTCCCACCTGAAGGCGCATTTGCGGTGGCACACGGGGGAGCGACCCTTCGTATGCAACTGGCTGTTCTGCGGCAAGAGGTTCACCAGGAGCGACGAGCTACAGAGACACCTCCGTACTCACACAGGCGAGAAGAGGTAGATTTGTAAGACTAAACAACACAGACGTGGAGTAGAGACGAGGACATCTCCCGTCACTATCCCACTGTCTGTGATGGTAGAACGGGGTCCTCATCACCACAAGCTCAGTTTTAGGATCTCGAAATTGAAATCAACATTATCGTTGTTAAGTGTTGCCGTGAGTTTAGGCACTTTGTTTGACTCACAGGCCACTTTTCAAAAACAAAGTCATGATAACGTAGACCACCGAGCCGATGATGATGATATGGACCTCAGAGCTGACTGAAGTGTACGCGTAAAAAGTAGTCACAGCATTTTTTACCCACTTTATTCATCCTAAAATGCATTTTTATGTTTTATTTGTTATGACTTTGAAATAAGCTATATCCAACCAGCATAACAGTATTTTTTTAACGTGCACTGAAATAAAATAAAATAAAATATGTTTAACACTTACTACACAACTAGTTAGTGGTAAATACAAAAACATATCTACACAAAATAACTGTTGCGCCTATGTTCGGACTTAATTTCAATGTTCTGAAACACTTAGAATACATTGTTTAGTATATCTTTTAAAAATCCTACAAAAAATATTCTAAATGTTGCAGAATGACGTTAGATGATATAGCAAAACAATGTGTAGCACATGCCTGAGCCGCGTGAGCCACTTCAGCCAGCTCAGTTAATGACAGAGGTAGGACGACCAAGAACAATATCACTCACTATCTTGATACCTCTTTGAATATATTCGCACAATAAGCGATCAGTACCACAGAGTTCATTAGCAGGCTTTACAGACAACTTATATTAGTATTTTCTAAAGGTTAATTCGCTCACTTCTATCAAATCACACAACTTCTACTTCTAACAAAATCATACAAAATAGCTTTAAAAATAAAGTAATGCAATTTATGTATTATCTGCAAATACATAGTTACTTATGTACTTTAACTATCATCTTAATTCCTCTCGATTTTAAATATAAAAAAAGTGTTCGTCCTTCCTCTGCCACTAAGGGATAATACAACTTTAGAATAATTAGATTTAAAAGTTAATCATAGACATTATTATTATAGCGAAATAAAATACACTAACAGTATAATTACACGTGATTTGGTATAATCATTCATGACGTTGCAATTCACGCTGGTTTCTAGGAGCGTCTACCATTAGAATATACACACTTTAATAATACTAAATCATTTCCTGATAAATTTTTAAAAATAATTTGTATTTTGTATACTGATGCAGATATCCTGTATATTTGGATCAGATGTAGTCATGTTTTATTAAAAAAAGAAGATAATTGAATGAGCACTTACAGCTGTAGCTTATAAAAATATATTTCTTCCTTTAGTTTTAAATATGATTGTTGTGAATAAATATGAAGGATAAGAAATTATTAGTTTTATGAAAAATTAATTTCACTTTTTAAATAAATTAAGCGTCTTTTCCTGAAATCAGCAGTTTGAATCAGTGTTCTCTGTTCTACTAGGTCCATTTTCAACACTTGATCACAGGTTTGGGATTCCCACTAGCCCACTACTCTAGTATGATAGTAATGTACAGTATCACAGGTTTGGGATGCCCACTAGCCCACTACTCTAGTCTTATAGTAATGTGACGTTTCAGGTTCGCATGCCCAGTCTGCAACAAGCGGTTCATGCGCAGCGACCACCTCGCCAAGCACGTCAAGACCCACAACGGAAACGGAAGCAAAAAGGGAAGCTCCGACTCGTGTTCCGACTCCGAGGAGAACTCCCAGTCGGAACTCACCGGAGTGAACTCTCCCCACGGGTCGGTGAATACTCCTCCACCTGGTCTGGAGGTGGACGTGAAGCCTGGGGGGTTAGTCTGAGGGCGGTGGGGTCCGGCGCTGTTCTACCACCATCCTCACTAGCGCTAGGACCCCACCCCTTCCTGCACCTACGAGTCTGTCCCCCACCACCACCACATACACACACAAACATACACCAGACGTGTACTCAATAGTAATTGCTAAGAGGAAACCAGTAACCTAAAAATCAACTAGAGTAAAAAAAAATTATCAACCATCTATTTAATCTAGAATTAAGAGATTGTGTGCAATGAATATTTGCAATAGAGCACACTTTAAGACACTCACTTAAATACCTTAAAAATGCTAATTTCTTTACACTTACATTCTTTACTCTGTTATCTGTCAACATGAAAAACTTAATTCGTTCTTTTACAATGCATCACATATTGAGCCCTTAAAAATCTTCTTAAAGTATGTATGCAGGGAATATTTATTGAATAAAGAAAAGTACCGAATGAACAAATGATCTTTCAAAGAGTGTTCTTAGCACACTGAGTGTTCCTAAATAATGAAACTAAAAATTGCACATTCCTCCAACATTGTATTTATAAACTTTTCCAACCAACAAGCTCTGATACAATGAGAATCTGATACACAATATTTGTGCCTTTGTAGAGTTGTTTATTATTTAACGTTGCCTTGGTCAGCTGGATAGCTGATCAGCTGATCTATTGCACATTTCATAGCGGTGGGCGGACCGACTCCCTGTGCCATGGGAACAGTAATATTGAGTCTGTGATCAAATATACTGCTTCCTCCAACCCTAACTCTCCCCTTGTAACATAGACTTGTTAATAAATTGTTTTATATTCGACCCCAGTCATTAGCGAATGTACATAGACATTGATAGTGTTGTTATACATCGAGGTTGAACAGTACATAGTGCGTGTATATAACTTATAATTTACTTTATTATATACCTAATACTTGTTGCCAACTGTACATATGTATCATTGTACCATTGACATATCATGGAAGTACTACTGTAACGGTGTTTATGTAAGTATATGTTTTTGTACACTTAAAAATTGTGTTTAAATATTGTACTTTTTAAAATTGTCATATTCAGAACGTAATGACTTAAAAAAATATATTTAAGACTCCATTTCATTGTTGAAACTTCTATACATACTAAAAATAAAATAGCAAAAATTAGTGTTTTTTATAGTTAAACCTTAAGTTTATCATATGAGATTAAAGGACCAGATGCTATTCGAATAAACATTCGTACTATTTGATGTAGCCTTGTATAAATTTTGGTGTTATACTCTTACTTTGAATATTCTTCTATATTTACAATGGTATTGTCCATATGATCTGTGTTTTCCTAAATCAAATAAATATGATAAGAATCACATGAACTGTATAAGCTAAATTCCACTAAATGCCAATGTCATGTAGACAACATTTTTGAGCATAAAACTCTAATTGATACATTATACTGTCAAACACTGTTAAAGTAGTACAGAAGGAATCATTTCCTGGCCAAGCTGTTCCTGATTGTGTCGATCAATAAATCACTTGAAAGAATTAATCCATTGTTGAGTTTTTTGTATTGTTCCTCCTAGCCTGGTGACGCTGCAGAATTACAATCAGCTGATATTCATGCATACTGTTATTGTGTGATCAGTGTGGCTACTGGCCCGTGACAGTGCAAAAGCATAACAACTGTGAAATAATAAGTCATATAATCAACAAAATACTAGTGTATAGTTTGTAGAGAGTATTGCAAATCTGATTTTGGAAACACAATACGATTGCAATTGAAAACAAAATGCACAACGAAGTATGTTGAGTTTACAATATAGCAAAATAATTACACAAGAAAATTGAGATGGTTTACAGACAAATAAAAACCAAATTGAATGGTTTTTATTGTATTGGCATATCATTTGGGGTCCTTGATCAATCCATGATGATTTTTGCTTTCATTTGGACCTTTCAATGAATGTTCTTTTATTTTTATTTCGGTGTTTTTACGACAGTTGCATTTTTTATGTTCTGAAAGAGAACGGTCCAAACAAAGTATTGGCTAAAGATACAGCTCTATGACTCTTTGTTATGGCTATGAGCTGTAGTCATAACAGTACAAAGCTACACAAGGGATCCCACTCTATTCTACACTAATTCATCGTTCATTCAGGATAAGAATACACTCTGTGGCATTGATTTGTAAAGGTGAAAATATGTTAGAAATAATATTTAGTGAACTTTAAACAAGTCTAGTTAAAATAATCATCAGAAACCTAGACTAAATAATTTATGGAAAAATACAAAGTGTTTCTAGTATGAGCTTAAGTTAAGTTAATTCATTGTGAATAGTTAGGCTAACCTATTACAGAAAAAAGAGACTGCAGGTAGTTAGGTACTCACTCGGAAGTTGACTGTCAACAACATTTTATAATTGGACACCATTAAAGAACAACATTATCAAGAATACTTACTTAGTACAACCCAAGCTTTGAATTTAAAAAGACAGCATAATAATAAAGTGCATTCAAGAACTTAGTAAAATTAATAAATTAGTTTAAAATTGTGTTAAATAAAACAATATGTTTAGAAATAAAATTATTAAAGACAACATATACGCCATATCATATCTACCCGAGTTCTCATAGAAAGGCAGAGCAAATTAGAAGATGTATTGTAATCAAACCAATTATGAAGAATCTATTGAAGACAATATTTTTCCTATTTCGTAGGAGCATGACACAAAACTAACAGAATTCACACAGTAAAAGTTGGGCCCTTCAATAAGAGATACAGAGGGAATAAATTAGATACTGTTTATTTCGTACAATGTAATTTGATTCGGGTACACAAATATACGTACTTCACATCCTCGTTCCACTTCATTCAATAAAGAGAGCCAAATCTACTTAAGCCACCCACATTGATATAATGGTTAAACGTTCATCACACAATCAGATTGAACGGTTTAGGGGATGAAATAGCGACCCCAGACCCCACATTGGGGTGACAATTTGGTTATGCAGATAGACCGCACGCAGCGGGGGTGAACTTGCTGATTAAAAACACTTAGATTTATACAGCGATGTCGATTTGTCTTGATCCTTGTTGGTGACTGTTGGGGGGGGGGGAGGGGGGTGATCTCCCTCGACGGGTGATGAGGCGGCAAATGCTGGTGGTTGATGGTTATTGTCGTCGTAAAAGCGGGCTTCATTTCACTTGAAGAGGTTTCGACTTTAATGTGAAATCTTGGTGAACAAACTTCTAAATTGAAAATATTATTCGGTGTTTTCTGAAACACTGTCATTGGTTTACTATATGGGTTTTAGAGGACAGGGATGGAATGCATTTTTGTTTTATTGTCCTAGATTGAATATTTTATTTGTTTGTCTCTTCACCCTTTAATTTTATGAACAGAGTATAAAAAAAACAACCCTTATTAATATTATATTTTAAATTTAACCACCCAAGAAATAAAGAGATTTCGGTTTTATGGAATTTAAATTCAATATTACTCTCCAAATGATGACGCTATGCTTGATAACAACTTTGGGTGTACTTTGCTCCTCTATGGTGTACCCATCAACATAATCACTGATGACATCAATACTCATTAAAACAAAGTACCTCAGATGGAATATCACATTGACACCAATCAATAATATATTACACTATAACGCATCTTTATCTTAACAATTACTTTGATCATGTATTTAGCTGGCATATTTGAAACCATAGCATTGCTTGGTTTACCTTTTTAGAACATAGCGGTTTTACATCACAGCCTTTAAAATAATCTACAATCCATCCAGTTCGGTACTCACTCTGCATGGATGGATAATGGAACAAGCCAGTAATTATTATCATTTTCTAAGCCATTAATACATCTATCTAGTCGTTATAATAGTCAGTATTTCAAATTTAGTCTTCGCTTATTTCTAGTTAAATGGTCGAAAATGGTTTTTAAAATAGCTATTTTAGAAGAGAGAAACGACATCATAAATTTAAAGATTATTCATAAAATAACAAACAAAAACAGTCAAGTGTGTTACATCTACCTACTTTATGTATAATTCAGAAAAAAAAATCTGTGTACAACTATCTAGAGTTCTACTAGACAGATTTTATTAATTAACGAGTCGTTGGAAAGCTTAATTCGTGTAGATTTGCAAATAGTTATGAAAAGTTGTTTTTGTTATGAGTTATGATGAAATTTAAAAAAGCGTGTTTTTATAAGAAATACATTGAAATGGGTGTTTTCACAATATTTATTTGGATGCACTTTTGGCTGTCTTTTTTTAATATTTTCAATAAATGCATTGTATCAATTTGTAGGAAATTTTCTTTACTTTCAAAATATCACCGTCCAATTTGGTCGATTTCTTCACCATTAAAAAGTTATTTGCACAAAAAACTAAGCAGCCTCCGAATTTATAGTAGTGAGAAAATACTGAGTTAGTGATCTTTTTGTTAAACTTTGTACAACTAAATATAGACTTCTATTGGACCAATTTTGTTAATTAATGGGACATTGGAAAGCCTAGCTTATGTAGATTTGAAAACGATTATGAAAGTTTAATTTTATTAAATATTTGAGGTGAAAAAAATACAAAAAATACCAAGAATACATTAAAGACAGTTTTTTCAAGTTTTTATTTCCAATTCTTAGACTGCCTTTATTGAGTATTTAAAAAAATACATCAAATTAATTTGTGTGGAATTTTATTATCTTACAGAATATCACCTTCCACTATGGTCGATTTTCTCACCATTTAAAAGTTATTTAAAAAAAGCTAAACAACCTTCAAATTTATTGGGGTGAGAAAATACTGAATTAGAGTAATTGTTGCTAAACTTTGTACAACTAAATCTATGGTTCTATAGGACCGATGTTATTAATTAATGGGTCGATGGAAAGCTTAATTTCAGTAGATTTGCAAATAATTATGAAAGTTTGTTTTTGTTACGATTTATGACGAAAATAAAAAATAAAAAATATTTTACATGGGAAATACATTGAATACGGTGTTATATTTTTTTTATTTGGAGGCAACTTTTGACTAAGTTTTTTGTATTTTCAATAAATACATAGTACAAATTTGTTGGAAATCATATTCTATTTCAGAACATCACCGTCTACTTTACTCGGTTCCCCCGTCATTTAAAAGTTATTTGCAAAATAGCTATGCAACCTTCGAATTTATAGTGGGGAGAAAATACTGAGTTAGAGATATTTTTGCTAAACTTTTTATAACTGAATCTACAGTTCTACTGAACCGATTTTGTCAATTAATTGGTTCTTTAAAAAAAACGAATTCGTGTAGATTTGCAAATAATTATGAAAGGTTGTTTTTGTTATGAGTTATGGTGAAAAATTAATAAAAACGTTTTCCATAAGAAATACATTGAAAACGGGGGTTTTCACATTTTTATTTGGATGCAGATTTTGGCTACCTTTTGATTTGATTAAACATTTGTAGTAAAAAAGTAGAAAAAAAAAACAAGAGTACATAATAACGGCTTTATTAATTTATTATCAAGCTTCTATTTATAGCCAACTTTAGACTGCCTTTATTGAGTATTTTCAAGAAATACACTCCGAATTAATACTATATTAATTTGTATGAAATGATTATCATTCTCTTTCTTAAATCACTTTCCACTTTGGTCCTCACTATTTCAAAGAAAAAGTGCTAAGCAACCTCCGATTTTATAGTTGTTAGAAAATACTAAATTAGAGATATCTTTGTTAAAATGTGTAGAATTAAATCTACACTTCTACTTGACAGATTTTATTAAATAATATGTTGATGGAAAGCTTCATCCATGTGGATTTGCAAATAATTATTAACTTTGGATTTTTTAAAGATTTATGGCAGTAATGGGGTTGCCAGTATACATCATCTAGTCATATAAAAACATGTGATGATAATTTAACAGCTGATTGTTGTATTGTTATTTCATTAATTTTTCTTTGTTTGCATTTTGTTTTTGTTCACAATTTGCAATTGTGTTAAAGTGTATTCCTTATGTTATGGGTGTGTTTCTAAAGTTATGGGTTTTTGTACCAGTGTATTAGTGAGTAATGTGGTGCATTGATTTCATAACGGTTATTTTCCTAGAAACCGTTGTATTTAACCACAACGGGCTCTGTTGCTGGTATAAAATAATAAAACAAATCTGGTATTTATTGATACAACATTTTTATTATATATACGTTTTAATCTGATTTGTTTAATTTTAAATTTTATATCATGGGAATAATTTTATGTGTTAAAAAACAAACTAAAATACACTGTAAAGATATCGCTTTTTAGGAATTGATCCAAGGCTTTATTGGATCTGAGTTGTTATACTTTGAATTGTAGCCTACATGGGTATAGCTATATATTTTTCTTCGTGATATTAGAAGATCACTTTCAAAACTGAAACAAAATAAGCAGAGCCAATACGATAACTATACATCGATTCATGGTGTTGTAATGGCATTGAACGTCACGGACATGGTGTAAGTAAATAGTGTACAACAAGGACCGCGGCGAGCCGGCGACG